GGGATTGGCTAACCTCACATTATGTTCTCCAACACCATCCATTTACCTGCAAATGCCATGATTTTATTCTCTTTTATTGCTGAGTAAAATTCCATTTTGTATATATGCCACATTTTTTTTTATCCATTCATGCACTGAAGGACATCTAGGTTGGTTCCACAATTTAGCTATTGTGAATTGTGTTACTATAAACATTGATGTGGCTGTGTCCCTATAGTATGCTGTTTTTAAGTCCTTTGGGTATAGACAAAGGAGAGGGATACCTGGGTCAAATGGTGGTTCCATTCCCAGATTTCCAAGGAATCTCCAAACTGCTTTCCATATTGGCTGCACCAATTTACAGTCCCACCAGCAATGTATGAGTTTACCTTTTTCCCCACATCCTCACCAACACTTATTGTTGTTTGTCCTCATAATAGCTGCCATTCTGACTGGCATGAAATGATATCTTAGAGTAGTTTGATTTGCATTTCTCTAATTGCTAGAGATGCTGAGCATTTTTTAATATATTTGTTGATTGATTGTATAACCTCTTTTGAGAAGTGTCTGTTCAGGTCCTTGGCCCATTTGTTTATTGGGTTATTTGTTTTTTGCATGTTTAGCTTTTTCTTAGAGGATTTTTTCTTTTTTTTTTCAGAAGATTTATCATTGAAATACAGAAATTTTTTCTTTTCTCAGAGGATTTGTCACTGATATACAGAAATGCCTTTGATTTATGGATGTTGATTTTATATCCTGCTTTTTTGCTGAATTCATTTGCTAGTTCTAGAAGTTTTCTGGTGGAGTTTTTTGGGTCTTCTAGGTATAGAATCATAGCATCAGCAAATAATGCTAATTTAAGTTCTTCTTTTCCTATACATATCCCTTTAATTTTTTTCATCTGTCCAATTGCTCTGGCCAGTGTTTCAAGAACTATGTTAGAAGAACTATGTTTAATAGAAGTATTAAAAGAGGGAATCCCTACCTTGTTTCAGTTTTTAGAAAGAGAATGCCTTCAATTTTTCTCCATTTAGAATGATGTTGGCCTGAGGTTTAGCATAGATAGCCTTTATGATGTTGAGATATGTTCCTGTTATCCCTAGTTTTTCTAGTGTTTTGAACATAAAGGGGTGCTGTATTTTGTCAAATGCTTTTTCTGTGTCTATTGAGATGATAACATGATTCTTAAAGATATCTTTAAGTCTATTGATGTAATGAATTACATTTATTGATTTTTGTATGTTGAACCAACCTTGCATCCCTGGGATGAATCCCACTTGATCATGGTGCACAATCTTTTTGATATGTTTTTGTATTTGATTTGCCAGCATTTTATTGAGAATTTTTGCATCTATATTCATTAGAGATATTGGTCTGAAGTTTTTTTTCTTTGATGTATCTTTGCCTGGTTTGGGGATCAGGGTGATATTGGCCTCATAGAATGAGTTTGGAAGTGCTGCCTCTTTTTCTATTTCCTGAAATAAATTGAAGAGTATTGGTATTAGTTCTTCTTCTCAACTGTGTGTCCATCTGGTCCTGGGCATTTCTTGGTTTATAAGCTTCTAATGATGTCTTCTATTTCATCAGTTGATATTGGTCTGTTTAAATTGTATATATTTTCCTAATTCAATCTGGGCAAATTGTATGACTTAAGAAATTTGTTGATGCCTTCAATGTCTTCTATTTTATTGGGGTATAAGATTTCAAAATAATTTCTAATTATTCTCTGTGTTTCTGTAGTGTCTGTTGTGATATTACCTTTTTCATCAAGTAGCTGGTAATTTGAGTTCTCTCTCTCTTTCTCTTTATTAGCGTGGCAAGGATCTGTCAATTTTATTTATTTTTTCAAACAACCAACTTTTTATTTTTTCAATTTTTTCAATTGTTTCTTGTTTTTATTTCATTGATTTCAGTTCTAATTTTAATTATTTCTTGCCTTCTACTGCTTTTGCTGCTGATGTGTTCTTCTTTTTCTAAGGCTTTGAGATGTAGTGTGAGGTCATTTATTTGTTGACTTTTTCTTCTTTTAAAGAATGAACTCCATGCAATGAATTTTCCTCTTAGTACTGTTTTCATAGTGTCCCTGAGATTTTGATATGTTGTGTCTATGTTCTCATTTACTTCTAAGAATTTTTTAATCTCCTCCTTGATGTCTTCTGCAACCCATTGTTCCTTCAGTAGCATATTGTTTAGTCTCCAGGTAATGGAGAAATTTTTATTTTGTCATTGATTTTCAATTTCATTCCATTATGATCTGATAAAATACATGGTAGTATCTCTACTTTTTTGTATTTGCCGAAAGTTGCTTTGTGGCATAGTATATGGTCTATTTTAGAGGCAGGGTTCTAGGTCCCCACAATCATACTAAGAAGTCTTCCACAGAATTTTTCTCTGGAACCCTGCCTTGTCCTTATCCTTTTCACTTTATTCTCAGGCCACTATTGCTTTCCCAATGCCAGAAAGGTTGTAAATAGGGAAGCTACTCTTTTCCCATCACTAGTTTGATTTTAACATGAAAGATTGATCCCTGGGCCAGAAAAAATATTGATATTGAGGTGTAAATGACTGGTTCTTAGGCCTTTGTTGAAATTTGTGAGAGAGTAAAGAGTCCTAGAAAGACTTTGAACCTTGAAAGGCTTTCTAGGGATTCTGTCTGACAGTATGGCTAAGTTTAGCATATCTGCCCCTTCCCACTTATCTCCCTCTACCTGCAGTTTTGATCATGTGCCTTATCTCATGCATGACTATGACCTGAGACGAACAACCAATATCAAGGAAGTTCTGCCTGAAGATGCCTTTAAACACCCTGCCTTATTCACTTGGGATTTTCTAAAGACTCTAAATGCTGGTAAATGGTTTATAAAACCAGAGGTAAGACACATTCCTCAATTCTATAAACTTGGATTGTATTCCTGTTTTGTTTGAATTAATTTGTTGCCCCTGGAGATAAAGGTAAAGATAGACAAGTGTACACACAGTTTCATCCTAGTTTAGTAGCAGGGTGAAGGGCTTTTCTGGTAATGCAGTGAGTCTGATTACTGCTCTCTACATTCACAGAAAGTTTGAAAATAACCTTGTAAACTTATTCTTGTCATTTAATTCCTATTTACACAAGTATTTTGTAAACTTTGATAGTGTGCCCACTGTGTATGTAGTATTTTCTTAGGTATTTTGAATAGCTCACAGTCTTATATATTATGCAGACTGAGGAATCATATTTATACTTTGTAGAAGACTTTGTTTTTTCTTTTGGTGATATGAGGATTGAACCTGGGACTCTGCCACTGAGCTATTTTCCCAGCCTGGAAACATATTTATTCTTGATTACTTCTTACTATTCAACAAATAGATATTGAGTACCTACTGGGTACTAAGCATATGAAATATAATGATGAATAAGCATACCTCCAGCCCTAATGGAGTTCACAAGGTAAGTATAAACACAAAATTATGATACATTGTGATAAGTGCCAAACTAGAGTTAATTTCAGTTTTTTCAGGAACACGCAAGAATAATTTCTAGTTCAGTTTAAGGGATGAGGATGGCTGATTCTGGAAGGAGTAGGCTACTAATAGATGTAGTAAAATATAAAGCCTGTACTGTGTAAAATGTAGTTTTGAGGCAAGAGTTGAGTAGTTCGCCTTGAGGAAGTCAGAGAAAGCAGAGATACCATTTGTGCTAAGGGGAGATCATTAATAAAGAGAACCATGGGCAATGGTGGTGATGTGTTTCAGAGGTTACATTATAGAGTGTGCATACATGTGTGTTTGTATGTGTGTGAGGGGAGATACATAGATAGAGAAGGAAGGGATAGGGATAGGGAATAGTTTAGGAAAAGAATCAGGAAAACATGTTGATGGAAGATTATAGCAATTCTTAAATAAAAAGTTCTTAAATAACAAGTTAGCTTAGAATTATCTTTTGAGTGTTTTTAGGGTTATTTTGTTCATTTTTATTTTTGTTCCTTTTTGTGGGTCTGGGGATTGAATCCAAGAACCACTGAGCTTCATCTCCAGCACTTTTTATCTTTTTATTTTGAAACGGGAGCTCTCTAAATTGCCCAGGTTGGCCTCAAACTTGTGATCCTTCTACCTCAGCCTCCCAAGTAACTGGGATTACCAAAGTGTGCCACTGCACCAAGTCCTTTTGGGTATTTTAAAATGTGTAAAAAAATCAGATTTCATTTTATAAAGATCAAATCTGCCTTCTCAGGATAAAGAAAACAAAACAACTTATATTTTCTAGCCTATCTTATAGCTAGGGATAATACATGTGACATAGGTTCTGCCCAGATACACTGATTTTGAAAATAGACATTTCACTATGATAGATATTAGGCATCCATATTGATAGCACATGTGACAGCAGAGATACCAGAGTATGTGGGGTGTATCAATTGTGGTAATAGCTCCCTTATCAGGTAGCTGTAAATAAAGAAAAAAAATTAAGGTTTTTAAAAATGGGTGAAATGGAATTTTATTTAAGTTTGATGTTAATCTTGAAAGTTATTTGATTGTGTTTCACACAAAAATAGTGAAAAGTTAGTGAAGCATTATGTAAAAATAGACTTTAGAGACTCCACTTCAGATTTATTCTATTAGCTAGTGTTAATATAAGAGATAGTTGCAAGTAGATTTATAATAACCGTAGCTCCTTAAAATATTTGTTCTCATAGGAGTTCATAGCCTATAAATGCTGTTTCCTTATGTGTAGATATTGGGGTTTCTCTGATATTCCAGATTTCTATGCATATGTAGGCCATGTAATATGTCTCATCATACATGAATACATGAGCACATAAAATCTAGATATATACATCAGCATACATATATTGGATTAGCTAGCCATAATTGATGTTTTGGCAATGGGTATTGTAGATAAAAGGGCTGTTAGATATCTGATGTATGATGTAATGCTCATAAAAGTTTCATTAGGATTTGAAGAATTAAATTTACTTTTAAAATTGAGCCAATGTTTCATCATTCTGAGATTTTTGATGGAGTAGTAGTGTTGACGAATGAATGGCTGATGATTTTAGTTAATATGTGATTTTTCTTATTGGTTCTTATTAGAAGTAGTGTCTCTCTTTTAGAGAGACAATAATAGTCATTTTTCTTGTCAGTGGTCATGGTTAGATACCATATGGGAACTAGGATATTTAATATTTAATATTTTTATTAAATATAATGTTTCATTATATTGTTAGTGTGCTAATGAGGAATATCCTGAAATCAGGGGTTCAAATAAGATTATTTGGGGGACTTTAGGTTTGTTTGTGGTGCTTTCTTTGTTTTCATACTGTGTGGTCAGCAGGTGGTTGAAAGGATATTACCATATGATTTAAATGATTTCAGGGTTGGGTAATTTTTTTACAGCAAAGAACTTAATGGTCGAGATTATTCTGGTGACTATTGGCATAGGTATGATTAATTGATGATGGTTATAAATTAGTCATTATTCATTAGTATATTTATGGTTCTTGAGATTACTTGTGAAAATCAGTCTGCGTGGTAGTAAACTTTTTGTTACTGTAACAAATATCTGAGATAATCAACTTTAATTAGAAAAGGTTTATTTTGGCTCATAGTTTTAGTGGTTTCAGTCCATGATTAATTGGCTCTGTTGGTTTGGGCCTGTGGCAAGGCAGCACATCATGGTGGGGAAAATGTGGCAGAGCAAAAACATTCACCTTACAACTGTGAAATAAAAAAGAGAAAGAAGGGCCTGGATCCCACAATTCCCTTCAAGGTGTACCTTGTAGTGACCTGAGACCTCCCACAGGATCTCTGCCTCTGAAAGATTCCATCACTTCCCAATGGTACCACTCTGGGTGAAAAAGCTTTTAACACATGGGGCTTCAGGGGACATTCTGGATCCAATCTGATGGATAGTGAAATAAGAATAAATACAAAAAGTCTGGGAGTTGTTCCTAAAAGCTCAGCCAAATTACTGTTTCTTTTTTTGTTTGTTTTATTTTTTTATTTATACATGACAGTTGACTGTATTGTGGCAAATTATACCTACATAGAGTATAACTTATTTTAATTAGGATCCTGTTCTTGTGGTTGTACATGATGCAGATTTACTCTGACTGTATATTCAAATGCAAGGCTAGGAAAGTTATGTCCAATTAATTCTGCCATCCTTCCTATTCCCCTCTCCTTCCTTTCCTTGTTCCCCTTTGTCTAATCCAATGAATCTATTCTTCCCCTCTCCCCACCCTCCCCTGTTTTGGGTTAGCTTCCACATATCAGAGAGAACATTTGGCCTTTGCTTTTTGGGGATTGGCTTATTTCACTTAGCATGAGAGTCTCACTTCTATTCATTTACCAGCAAATGCCATAATTTCATTCCTTTATGTCTGAGTAATATTCCATTGTGTATGTATACCACATTTTATTTATCCATTCATCTGTTGAAGAGCACCTAGGTTGTTCCCATAGCTTGGCTATTGTGAATGGAGCTGCTATGAACATTAATGTGACTGTGTCACTGTAGTATGCTGATTTTAAGTCCTTTGGGTATTGACCAAGGAGTGGGATAAGTGGGTCAAATAGTGGTTCCATTCCAAGTTTTCTAAGGAATCTTCATACTGCTTTCCATAGCGGTTGCACCAGTTTGCAGTCCCACCAATAATGTATGAGAGTACCTTTCTCCCCACATCTTGACAACATTGATTGTTACTTGTATTCTTGATAATTGGCATTCTAACTGGAGTGAGATAGAATCTTAGTGTAGTTTTAATTTGCATTTCTCTAATTACTAAAGATGTTGAACATTTTTTCATATATTTTTGACCATTTGTATTTCTTCTGTAAAGTGCTTGCAAATTCCTGTTTCTTTAGCCCAACCAACATTTGTGGAATTCTTGTATTCATTAGGAAAGTTTAATTTTCACAATGACACAGATACATATTCTTACAAATAACATAAGTCCAGCTTTTGTTTTAGCACATTAATGAGGGACTAGGCAGGATGTCAAACCCACTCAAAAGAGAAGTAAGAAATCAACCAGTGGAACAAAGAAAATCTGAAATTAGATTGCTAAGTTAGACATATACTTGGTTAATATACTAAATGATAAATGAAGTCATAACTTGAGGGGTTGACTTCCACGAAAGAAATTATTCACATTGTTATTAGACAAAAATCATTTTTGTTTTCATCAGTTTCCTCAAGTTAATATCTAACTTTACATAATCAGGGCTCTGATCAGAAGTAAAGAGGAATTCAAGCAGAAGTACATTCCCCTAAGTGTCAGATAGATAATCTTCAGTTGTTCTTAATATCTGCCATGATATTTTGATATGAAGCAACAACTACTTGCCTTATTTTTAAAGTTTTGAATAATTTAAGTTTTCTGTTGTTATCATAATTTATATTGATTTTTTAGAAGCTTGTCTCATTGTAATTTTGTGACATTTTGCTTTATTAATTGACATAGATGCAGTAAGAAGGATCAATTAATACACATAAGGTTCCTTGTTATGTATGTAATCAGATGTCTAGAGTTAGATTGTATTAAACTATTAAGGCCATTAAGTTAGGTCTAGAGATTATTTAGGTGTTTCTTTTTTGGTGATACTGGGGATTGAACCCAGGGTTGCTGTACCACTGAACTATGTCCCCAGCCCTTTTATTTTGAGACAGGATCTTGCTAAGTTGCTGAGGCTGGCCTTAAACTTGCAATCCTCCTGTCTCAGCCCCTGGAGTAACTGTGATTATAGGCATGTGCCACCACACCCACCTAGAGTTTCATTTTTAATAGTATGTACCATATAGAGATCTTTTACTTACAAAATAAGAAGTTCATCTCCATAGTATTTCACTTATATCTTTATAAATGTAGGCAAATTTGCTTTCCTTTTTA